AGGCAGAGACATAGGCAGAGGGAGAAGCAGGGTCCTCACGGGGAGCCTGATGTGGGACTCAATCCCTAGACCTCGGATCATGACCTGAGCTGAATGAAGGAGATGCTCAACTCCAGAGCTTGAGGATGCATCATGGTCCACCTCTGCACCGGTTGACCAATGGATAGTTCGTTAGTTTGTTCTCTAGGTCAGGATGCTCTGCCTTTGGCCACCAGCCTAGCCTTGGCCAATGCCAACAGCAGAGAAAGAAGAGGCAAGGAAGATAGAAGGATGGGTGAGGGCCAGGAGATTCTGAATCCTTCTCAGCTCCTGGCTGCCAGTTGCTTTAAGCAAAGGATGGTGATCTGGAGCATTTCTGATAACCACAAAACTGTGCAGCCAGCACTCTGCAAGCTTCGGTTAGGACATGTATGAGGAGCTGGAGCCAGCTGCCACCTCCCCAGCTCCAGAGGGCAGCCTCACTTAACACATCCACCCCACGCCTTGCATTCCTGCCAGGTCTCTCCAGGATGCTTTCCAGTGAGTACCTGTGATCCCAGGAGGAACCTCAGTCCATCCCACTCAAACTGGGGTGGCTGACGTCTTTGCCAAGAGCCCCATTGGCAGTGGTGGTGCCAGGCCATCCCACATTCTTTTTCCAGCTCAGTTATTAAATAAAGCTCAACTCCCTAAGCTTGGAGCCAATATCATACTATCTTTAATGGCACAGAAACAATGGAATGAGTTTTAAATTACTCTCAAGAAGGAAACAGGGCCATGCCACTCTCCAACTTTCATTTTCCCCAACACTTCAATCCTTTCTTCAGTCTACTCAGAAGAGATTGAAAAGATTCTCCCCCTGCACCCCCTTCCCAATTGTCTCTCAATGGGATTTTTTTTTTTAATCCTGAAGAAACAAAACACCAGCAGGACCATTGCTAGCCAATATGGCTCCTTAGTGCAAAGACAGCCAGACTCCCCTTTCCTCAAGAGATTTTAGTGCCACCTGCAAGAGTTTCATTGCAATAAATACTAGGATGTTAATGGTACCCTTTAGACGAAGTGCATTTGTGTAGGGCACAACCTGCACATCTTTAACACTGGCTGTGGAGACCAGAGACCTACGTGATGGAACTTAACCTGGCCTGAGTTTACATTAGAAACCAGAAAAAAGTGGGGATGCCTGGGTGGCTCAGTTGGTTATGCAGCCGACTCTTGGTTTTGGCTCAGGTCATAATCTCAGGCTCATAGATCGAGTCCCAACCCCCACCGGGCTCCACTGAATACAGAATCTGGTTCCGATTCTCTCTCCTTCTCCTGCTGCCCCTCCCCCTGCTTGCACTGTCTCTTTTCTCCCTCTCTCTCTCTCTCTAAAATAAATCTTTAAAAAAAAAAAGCTGGAAAGAAGGTGCTGCATGGAAAGAAGACAGCTGAGAAAAGTCATAGGTTAGGACAGAGATTCTCTAACCCTTCTGCTGTGTGCAGGAGGGACAACCAGCTATTCAGTGGAGCTGAATAATTGCATGACTGTACTTGAGGGCTAGAAATGCAGGCGCCTCACTGCCTCCTGCCACCGTCCACCCCCGAGCTCCCCTGGCAAGGGCAAGCAGGGAAGCTTTGAGAGAGACGCTGCACTGTGGGCCAGTTTGCCTCTTGGCTCTTCATCTAGGGAAGGCCTCCCACAAAGGGGGCCCCCAAGAGGGGCACAGGGCCAGTTGGGAGATCAGGCGCCCATCTGATGCCTTTTGTCTGACTGTTTACCAAATGGAAACGAAGACATTGTGGGCTCAGGACACACTGCAGAGGAACGCTGTGTACTGGGCTTGCTATCCTGGCCTCTCTCTCGGGGGGGTGGGGGGGGAGAGGGGGGTGCAGCTAGGAAGAAAAGAATGAGAATGAGCTTCTTCCCCACTCTCTTTTCCATTTAGAAACCCCTGCTTGGGATGCAGAAGACACTCACGGGGTCCTCACCTGCACACTTCTCGAGTGTGGGCACTAGCTAACGCTGGTGCTGCAAGCTACGTGTAAAGCCAAGCTACCCGTATGTCGTGAATAATGACAACGATCAGATCCTGAGCTCATCGTCTAGTATCTCCAGGCCCAAGTGGGATGATGCAGCATAAAATATTTTAAAATAAAATCCAATACCAGAGGGTATGCCCGGGGGGCTCAGTGGTTGAGCGTCTGCCTTTGGCTCAGGGTGTGATCCCCAGGTCCTGGGATCAAGTCCCACATCGGGCTCCCTGAAAGGGAGCCTGCTTCTCCCTTGCCTGTGTCTCTGCCTCTTTCGTTCTGTGTCTCTCATGAATAAGTAAATAAAATCTTAAAAAAATAAATAAATAAAAAGCCAATACCAGAGCTGTTGCAGGGCCAGGGGGTAGGGCAGCCTGTCCAGTGAGGAGCAGGGATGTAAATGGCTATAAGCTCCCCAGAGTGCAGCCTACATTAGTGGCCTGCTGGGAAAGCCAAATAGAGGAGGAACGAAAGCCCAGTGTGAGTGTGTGGGCAGAGCGGGTAGGGAGAGGGCAGAGAACTTTCTAGGGGCAGAAATTCTAGGAGAAGCACAGAGGAGGGAAAGCTCTGCATAGGTTGCATCATGATAGAACCAGACTGAAGGCTGGCTGATGAGTTCAGAGAGCCAGCAGAAGAGAGGAGACACAGCAGGGGAGGTGCCGGGGGACCTCAGGGGAGGTGGGTACAGAACCAGTGTCATGGCTTAAACACTCAGGGAAAGGCTGTAAGTGATAGCAAGGGCTGCCTGAGAAAGAACTGAGAGGAAGTCACTGAATCATCAACAAGGGTTTAAAAACACCTATGAACTCATGTATGCACCCACTGGGCACCCCACTGTCCCTCTGCTCTCCGGCTCAGGGGGTCCTTACAGAGCCACAGTGATGGACCACGGTGGACCCTCACAGCGCAGGAATTTAGGGAGCTTGGTCAGCCGCCTCCCTGGTCCAGCGTTCTTACCCAACAGTCCTCTCCATGCTCATCACTACGTGTCTTCCCATGTCACAGCCAGGAAGACGCCCCCCTGGTGCAAGCTGGGAAGGGCAATTGCTCCCCAGATGCTCACGGGCCACCCAACCCCACTAGAGACGGCCGGGCGTGGGCACAGTGCCGCCTGGGTGGGTCAGGTGCAGAGCCTCGCGTGCATCGCGGCCGAGCCCCCTCACATCCTCCGCCTTCCTGCAGCGAGGAGGCTGAGCTCCAGAAAGGTGGCTCACATCCCCAAGGGAAACCATCTAGGAATGGACCAAGCACGGAGCCAGACCTGGGTCTGGCTGACCCCAAAGCCCACGGGCCCACACTACCTTGTCCACGGCGCCTAGCAGGGTGCATTCTGCGAGCAGGGAGGCTGGGGAGGGACGAGGGGGGGACGAGGGGGGATGAGGGGCTTCTGCCCAGGAGACTTGAGACTCCATCCTGGCGGGGCCACTGAGGCAGAAGGCTGCAGGGGTGCCGCGGGGAGGAGGACCAGGTCCCTAACCCCCTGCGGATGGCGGCTTGATTAAGTTAGTCGGTGAGTGAAAGGCAAACAAGGGGCCGCGGTTGGGAAGGTTGGGACAGTGCGGAGGACGTCAAAGTACAAACTTTGCTTTTAGATGTTGGACGAGTTATTTAAACTCTGTGGGCCTCAGTTTCCTTCTCTGCAAGATGGGGATAATGGCATTTACCCTCCCGGGATTTTGGCAATGGTTGGATGAGGGATGGGCACATAGAGTGAACCCTCAGCCACTCGTGCCCTTCTTGTCATGGTCATTACTGGTGCTATGAACCCCTGGAAGCTGGTGTGGCTCCTTTCCTTTTCAAACGGGGCCCTCTGACTTGACTCCTCTTATGGTTGATTTTTCTCCTTCAGGGTAACCTAGGAGCTTATTTTTGCCTTATTTGACCGGGGAGATTTCCCTGATGCTCAGAACTGTAATCCTGACCCCCAACCTCTGGTCTCCCTCGCAGGCCCCAGAAGCACACCCCCTGAGCGCTGGGAGCTGGAGGGGGGCTCCCCAGGACAGGGAACCCTGTGGTTTCATAGATGTCCAGTTGGGGGAGCCAGCGAGTCGTGGTGGCCTCAGGGACCTCTGACCAGAGCTCTCCGCTCTCCCAGAAGCCTGGAGGTCCAGAGGACAGACGCCCCTGGCATCTGCACAGCTCCCTGTGGGTTGTTTGGTTTTTGCTTTTGTTTTTGTTTTTGTTTTTAATCCCGTGGTCCAGGAAGTGCACCTGAGTTAGAGTCCTGCCATAGCTGAGCAAGCCGCAAACACTGAATTTTAAGAAGCATGGGGGAAGAGCTGGTTTTTCACTTGGATTTTCGATTCTCTGCTATGGAATGTTTGCCTCCCATCTATTAGAAGGCTGCAGCAGGGCTTGTCCTAGGACCCTCACCTGGAAAGAAGGACCCTTCAGGGAAACACGTATATTCCTGTTTCCTCCTCACTGGGAAAAACGGCAGGTTGGTTTCCAGAAGATGAGTCGCACACCCCCTGTCCTCCCCACCCTCACACCACACCCCACAGAACCTCGCTGGAATTTTACATCTGTGTAGAAGCTGTATTGAGCCTAAGAAAAAAGAATTCCACCCCGAGAGCAGTCACTGGGCTCTCGGAGTCGAAGGTGTAGCAACCTGACACTTGCTTTTTAGTTTTAAGTGGCGCTGTGTTGATCTTTTTTAGTCGCAAGTATTCCCCCCAAATTATTTCTGGGTGAAGGCAGGGGCTAGAACAACTAGGAGAAGTAAAAGATGAACTTGCAGGACTGTCCCGGGGTACAGACCTTGGAACCTTGCAAAAGATGGCAAAGCTGCAGAAAGATGGCAACGCTGCTGGCATCAAATCAAGGACAGCATTGAGGGGAGGTAGAGGGGGCAGGAGAGGGAGAGAAACATCCATCGGCAGAGACAGAGAGACAGAGGGACAGAGAGGAAGAGACAGACAGACATCAGGTGTGGGATAGGGGACTGGTCCTCACAATGCTTTGGCCCTGGCACCCGAAGTGGGAGGAGAAAGCCGAGTGCACGGGTGTGCAGAGCGGGGTTCCCAGTATAAAACTGTTGGGTGCCTCCTCCCAGCACTATCTCCTTCTGAGCAGCCTCCCTCCTCACAGAGCCCCGAGGGCTTTATCAGCCAGCGCCTTCTGCCCCGGAGCCGGCTGCAGCGTGAGTACCCTCCTCGTCTCTATTCACTTCCAGCTGTCCCTTGTTGCCAGCTCATCTTCTTACTCTCAATTGTTGCTCTTTCATCCTTTTTTTTCTTTTTTTTCTTTTTTTTTATGGAGAAATGTGCCTCGGATGGTTGCAACTTTGTAGAGGCAGCAAAGTCCGAGGGCTGGTAGGCTAGAAGGCAGTTCACCAAAGCTGCAGGCTTCCTCCTGGAAGCCTGCAAGCAAAGCCTTGGCTCCTGATTTCTGAAGCAGGGTGGCAGCAGGACTGGGGCTCCGCGTGCAAGAGGGGTTCAGGCAGGGGGTCCGTTCTATGGGCCAGATGACTCTGAGTTCATCAATGCTGTATATGAGTTTTCAAACTGTGTTCTTGAAATACTTGAGTCCAGTTCGGAGACTCCAAAAAAAGTGGGGTACAGTGAAGGGCCCTCTCCAACTATGGCTCTGCCCACCTGCATGTGCAGGGAGTGTGCGTGCTTCCCATCGGGACAGCCTGGCATCCACACTGCAGCCATGGACCTGGGGTGGAATTCAGACCCCAAGGCTCCTAGGACTGGTGCTTTCTGAAGACAGAAGTATTTTCATCCGATGATATGAAGACCTGACAGCACTGTCCTGTTTCTGCTTACAGCTTTAAAGAAAACTGAGCGACTCCCACCACTTCAAACCAAAAAGCACTCAAAATATAGATTATTGTAAGTACCAAGTAAATGTCAATGCTTAAATTCTCTTTTTGATACAGCATGAATGTTGAAAGGTTTTCTTCTGTATCTGTATCCAAAACTTTGTATTAATTTTCATTTTTTTAAAGATTTTATGTATTTATTCATGAGAGACACAGAGAGAGAGGCAGAGACACAGGCAGAGGGAGAAGCAGGCTCCCCGTGGGAAGCCTGATGCGTTACTTGCTCTCAGGACCTGAGCTGGAGGCAGACATTCAACCTCTGAGCCACACAGGTGACCCATGTATTAATTTTTAAAGTGATATTCAAGTCACAGAAAATTGAAGACTTTCAGGTCTCTCCAACTGCACAGATTTCTAATGTATGCTGAGTTTTATTTCATATAATCAAATAGGAAATGTTGGTAGAATTGGAATCTTGAGATTGCCTTGTATTAGAATAAGTACTGCTTTGGTTTTCCTAGTGATTTGGGTTATGAAAAGTACTTTCTGACTCCCGTTGGAAAGTTCACCAGGTGCAGCTTCCAGAATATTCCTAGAATGTTAACTTTAGCACATATAAGCTTGTTAGGGGTGTGTCGATGATACAAAAGAATGAGGCTCCCTTTGAGGGACAAGGACATGTCTATTTGTCAGAAGAGTTCCTGCCTCTAGCAAGAGTGAAAGTGGGGGTTACCAGGGGCCCTCGGTGATTGCTTCAAGTCGGCCATAAAGACAGCAGGTCTGCTACCTCACTGAGCCCTGACACACACAGCAGATCCCATCCCTTGGGAGCTGCTCCTTCCCTGTTTACTTGAACAGAATCTCAGGTGGCATTAATGTGCCTGCCTTGGAGGAGACAACCACCCCGCTTCCCTTAGTGCACAAAGCTGACTCTGCCGAGGAGACTTGCCCACTCTGAGCTTCGGTTTTCTCTTCTATAAAGTGAAGGCTTGAACTATGTGCTCTTTACAACCTCGCCTAGCTCTCAAGTTTTTCTCTCTGGGCTCTGAGAAAATAATGATATTGAGCTCAAGGATATTGTCTTCCTACGTGTGTGTGATTTGGGGGGAGATGGGTGGGGGCCAGGAAGGCAGGAGCCATGCAGGAGCCAAGGGGGTAAAAACTCTCTCACCAAGAGAATGTGACAGTACCTTCTTGTCTCTTTCTTTCCTCTTTCCTTTTTTTTTTTTTAAACTTCATAGAAGATGAGAGTCCTACCACTGGTTTTTCTTAATACTGTTCTTTATCAAACAAACAAACAATACATAATGCAACCCACAGACACATCTGTTGGTACTTAAGGAACCGGATAGTTTATGGATGAACACATATGCAATTTTTTTCTAAGACATGTCAATAGTATTTTCCACAACTGTGGATTTTTCAAAGCAAGCCAGTAGAAGAAAGTAAAAATTAAATAAAGGAGGGACCCCCGCAAAAAAAAAAAAAAAAAAAAACCCACAGGCACACACCTTTTCTGGAACTTCTGAAGTAACAATGATATCCTTGGATACAATGGATGTTTCTTTTTGGTTTGTTTGGTTGTTTTGTTTTTTGTTTTTTGTTTTTTTTTTTTTTAAATTTTTTTTATTTGTTTATGATAGTTACAGAGAGAGAGAGAGAGGCAGAGACACAGGCAGAGGGAGAAGCAGGCTCCATGCACCGGGAGCCCGACGTGGGATTCGATCCCGGGTCTCCAGGATCGCGCCCTGGGCCAAAGGCAGGCGCCATACCGCTGCGCCACCCAGGGATCCCTGTTTTTTGTTTTTTTTTAAGAAAACTTACAAAAAGCTGCCACACTTGTTGACTTCTACTAAGATTTGTTTATTATTAACAAGATGACCTCCGATATTGAACCATTCTTATTCTGATAAGAAATATCAGATAAAATGAATGCCCTTTAGCAGTCTCTCGCACTGGGCTCTGGCTGTGCATCGAGAGTGTGGCTTGTATCTGATTTCAGAAAATAGAGCCCACCCCATGCCATCTTCTCCCATCTGTAAAGAACAAGCCTGAGGGAAAGTGTTGCTTTGGTCTTGGTCCCGAAGTCGGAGCCCTAACAGTAGAGAGACACAGCAGAGCAAAATCTGTGCGTTGGTCTCTGGGCCAGATGGTTTACTATCATTTTATACTTTTATTTAAGCAAAATAAAATGAGCATTCCCTGTCTGTGGTCGGCTCATTGTCTCTCCTTGCTGATGGAGAAGCCTGCCTTCTCCTTGGAGGTCCCCATCTGGGGTCAGGGCTCCGCCTCGGGACCCCGCTGACCCCTGACTCCCTCCATCCCTCATTCTGCATGTCCATCATGCTGACTTATGTCTTTTCGCCCTTTGTCGAGTATGGAGAGAAAGGAAGGATGAATGGACAGTCTTTGGCTGGCAGCACTGGGGACGCCCCTCGTGGTCCTCTTTGGAAGGACCCTTTTGGAGATAAGGCTGGTGAGGCCCTGGCACCTGGGCCCCCGGAACAGGTAGGCTACCTGGGTGCAGCCTCTGTCTCCGGGAACGTGGGCTCCTGCGATCTAAGCTCTGGTGTGTCTTTTCTGAACGGAGCCGGGGAAGTGGGGTCCTCATGCTCTGCTGAGTGGCGCGGCTTGGGTTTTGCGGGATGCACATGAGTCTTTGTCCCAAAGTCACATGGCGCTCAACTTGGGTGAGATGCGGGACTGTTGAACTACTGACTTTGGCTAACAGTGGAAAAGCTAGGAAAAAGGAGTCTGGAGTTATCATCTTACCCTGCTTCTCCTTATTTAGAGCTTCTTCCTTTTATTTTCTTGTCTTGTTAGTTAAATTTAATGGCCTCCTTAGACTGGAGAAATCTGAGCATCAATAAAGGTTTCCTGCTGCATCGCCTTCCTGATCAGAATTCTTAAAGTTCTCCAAAGAACTGCAAATAGTTGGACACGATAAAATTCTAGCGCAAACTACAACCTTGAAGTTGCTGGTTTCTCAGAACCAGTTCTCATGCCTGGGTTCTGAGGCAAGTCGTCAGGATCTGAAGGGCTCAGGAAGGGTTCAGGAGTTCAGAATAAATAGTTCATGGGTAGATATGCCACAGCAGCTACTGTCTGCTTAACTTGGGAGAGGAGCCCTCTCTCTAGGACATGGTACCCCAATAAACCATGCCAACATGTGGGTACTGGGGAGACAAATCACAATAAGCCTTGTATATGCTGAGCTGTGCAATCAGAAAAAAAAAAACCCAGTCCTTTAACTTAGAGTGGCTCGGCAAAGAGCTCAGGCCATGCAGGTTCTGGATCATGTCTGACCAGTTACAGTATCGGGTTTGTCATCTGTATCTCCAAAATCTCTGAGCTGATGGTGTATTTAAAACCCTCTAAAATAAATAAATATATGCCAGAAAGTTTGAGAACATGTGTGTGTTCACTCCGAACTATACATTTAATTGTTTCTAGAGTTGATGGAAAAACTGTAACGTTTTCACTCAATGCTGCCTCTGTAGGAACAGATCTACTCAGTTATAGAAACTCAAAGCAATTGTGTCTGAGCTTCTTGACGTTGCCTGGGGTGAAACTTGATGCCTCTGATAAATCGGTGGGGCTTTGCAAATGGGTCACCGGAGCTGAGGAAGGAGCTTACTGAGCAATGTTGTCAGTTATGAGATTTAAAGAGGAAGATATATGAAAATAAATAATAGCTATCACTTAGATTATAAAATGAAAGGTACTTCTCAAATTGGCTTAACATTTGAATCATTTTCTGTTTCACCATGGGGCCAGCTGAGCTCCCTATAGACTAGGTTCCTGATGTCCAGCAGGTCTCAGTTTAAGAATTTCTTCATGCCAATGTTCATTGGAAATCTCACAAGTGCAGGTGTCTAACACTATTTTGCCGAGATGAAGTGAGCTTGATCTAGAATTCGTTGCATAAATAGCTTCTGCTTTGTGTAATGATTAATGGTTGGCCATTGTTTAAAAGCGGGACACTTAGGTGGTGAAATAATGCAACTGAAGTGTCGGGGCTACTCAGGAAATAATCAGTTACCCACATTGATTTTTTTTGTCCTGGGATTAATGGAAGCCCGAACTAGAGTCAGGATTGCGAAAACTAAAAATTTTTTAAAGGCATAACTTTATTATCTCTTAATAGGTGTTTGTTGGCTATGATAAATGCAACAAGGATGAGGCCAAACCTAGCCGTGAGAACCCCTTATTCACAGCCTGGCCACAGGGAGAAGATGAGCTGGTTTATCTGCATAGATTTGGGGTATTACCTCGGTCATGTCTTATATGCCTGTGGTTTCAACTTTCCACTGGTGCCTTCTGGGATCTGATAGTTTGGATGTCTCCCTACTCCACGCTCACTTGGCTGTGCTCTTGGTGTTTCTTGCACGTGCAAGGTGGTTTGCCGTTATCTTCCTCCCTTTGCCTTCCTCTGGGGTTACGTTGTTGATACTCTTCTTTTGTATCTGCCATCGGCCCTGTGAAAACTTCATTTTTGTCTAGAGGCTATCACTCTGGTGATGTTGGTGCTTTCTTATCACAGTTATCATGAGAAGTGAAGAGTCTTGCCATGAATGCAAGTCATGGTTATATTAATATTTTCCTGAGGCGTGCTTACCATACTCATGCCTTGGCTATTCTTATATTGTACAATCTTAGATGACAACTTTTGGTTTTCAATAACTTGGTTCACTTTTACCTTTTCCAATTTCTATATTTTGTGCAATATCATTCTTGACTGTTTTTAAAAATATTTAAATAACAAATACCAAAAATAAAGAATACCTGAGGCAGTGGCCCAAGGTGGGGACATAGTCAAGCCCTCTTTGACTTGGAGAGTGTCTACAAGGGGCTTTACTTAGGCTCTGTCAACATACACAGACTATTTTGTAAATAATTCTGCTTTGTCAATACTTTAAAAACAAGAGCTTTTTTGTAAAATAGAAGCTTAATTTAAAAAGGCTGCTTGGGACTTATGGACATGAGGGCACAGTAGGAGGACCCCGAGCTCACCTCGTCCCATGGATACAACTAGATAACACACACATCAGTCTAAATAACCCAGAAAAT